GAGCCTTTCTTTCCTGTGTCAGCACACTGCAGGCTTGAATAAGAGAAGTTCACCTTTCAAAAAGTGCAGTAATTTGACATATGAAATGGAAATGGCTGTGTGTTGTCATTTTACAATTGTGGCTTATCAGAATAATTAAAAAATATAAATTAAGCGTTTCAAAGTCACGCTGTGCGGCTTGCTCTGCTCTCATTAAGAGCCGAGGCTCCAGTTGTTAAAAGCATTTTGAGATGGGAGAGTCAGCTTCTTTATGTGAGAAAAAAATTGAAAAGCCTCATTTTAATTTGCTCATCAAAGCAGAACCACAGACACAAAGTCATTTTGGGAAAGGCATGTTTTTATTAAAGGGATTTTCAGATGCTTTTAACCTGGCATATAGAGTAGTTCTCATTAAATATTTCTTTTTCTTTCTTTCTTTTTCGAGACAAAGTCTTACTTTATTGCCCTCGGTAGAGAGCTGTGGCGTCACAGCTCATAGCAACCTCCAACTCCTGGGCTTAGGTGATTCTCTTGCCTCAGCCTTCCGAGTAGCTGGGACTATAGGTACATACCATAATGCCCAGCTATTTCTTTGTTGCAATTTGGCCGGGGTTGGATTTGAACCCACTACCCTTGGTATATGGGGCGAGCGCCCTACCCACTTAGCCATAGGCACTGCCCTCAATATTTCTTTTTTAAGAATGGCTTTACTGTTGGTAGCTTAGTGGCTCCATCGCTGAATTTCTTCTGTGTTATTTATTTACTCAGTCATATTTCTACGTGAATTCTGGTTTTCATGGCCAAAGAGCAGATGCTGTGTCACGATTAGCATCTGTTCCCAAGCATAAGTCCCAGGCAGCGAGGAGGAAAGGCTGCCTGGCTTGAGTGTACTTGGGTTTCTCCCTTGGAGATGTCTTCTCTCCAGCATCCTCATGCTCTGCTTACAGGCACAGAGCCTAGGAGGCCTGGTTTATAAATTTCTTCCCAAAGGAATGGTGTTCAAGTGGTTGGGCAGGAAGCATAAAAGCCCGGATTGGGGACATCGGCTGATTGATTCCTCATAATCTAGGACTTGGTGTCATGTCAGCATTTGTAATTCCAGAGTCTGTTACAGAAACTGTCCTGGAGCTTTGACATCCCCAATACCCTTCAGCCTGGGGTGGGGGGGGTCTCCTTTCTGGGCATGTGGGACTAGCACAGTCTGCCTCTAGTTCTTGTTGCTGCATTGCCTGTGCCCAGGGTGGGCATAAGTGTCAGCTGTACCCTGCTGGTGATGCAGATAAGGCTTGCACCTCCTCACAGGACCTGTGGCGGATCCGGAGCCCCTGTGGTGAATGCGAAGGCTTCGATGTGCACATCATGGATGACATGATTCAGGTAGGCAGGGCTACAGCTCTGTGCAGAGTCCCACCCACCCATTCCATGTGGATGTCTGCTTCCTTAGGCAGCATGCAGAGAGCTTTTCTGTTTGGGGCAGTGAGAGTGGGTGCTGCCATCTTGGTTGCTTCACCATGAGCATTAGCCTGAGAGCCATTGGCTGTACCAGGCCTGTTCATGGCCCCAGGCTTTTACCCCTGAGTTGGGATCTTCAGCTAGGGCTGGTATATCATCGCACCATTGAAACTCCTCCTGCTGCTGCCCATAGCTTGTTTTCTGTTGGAGCAACCTTTCCAGAAGGCAGTTTGTTAACCTTCTGAGACAGTCATTTTCATTTTGGAGACTCCATTCCAAGAGAGAGGTGTGTAAGGAGCGTCCCTGCAAGTTAATGGTACCATAGATACTGGCCACTTTCCCTGTCCTACTTCTGTCCTGTCCCAGCCACATTCCTGCCTGGGCGCAGGTGCTTCCCAGGCACTGGGATTGCTCGTCTATGTGTTTGCCCCTCCTGGCAGCCTGGGAGCCGCCTGTGGTAGTCAGTTAGCTTGGTTGTCAGTCAGTCCGAGTGAGTGAGTGCCTAGGCACCATGTGTTCTCATCAGTGAGGTAGACATTTTGTTCTTAGAATAGCTCAAGAGGCACTGTCATACCATTTTAAAAAGGGAGGTAGAGAGACACCCAGGAGCTGGCTAATGGGCAGCTGGTCTGATCAAAGCTCAGCGCCTTCCTGGGAGAGCTCTCTGCCCCCTGTGACTGCAGTTACCCTGGCACCTGGGCCGTGATGGTGCCGCTTCTAGCTGGGTGCCAGCTCTGTCTCTGCAGACACTGAGTTCCCATCTCTGTTCTCAGCGTGCCCTAGACTTCAGGGAGAGCAAGGAGGCCGAGCCTCACCCATTGTGGGAGTACCCTTGCCGCAGCCTCTCTGAGCCCTGGCAGATGCTGACCTTTGATTTCCAGCAGCCAGTGCCCCAGCAGCCTGTGCGAGCTGAGGGCTCCGTGAAGCTGAGGAGGTAAGTGTAGGCTCCGGAGAGTGGGGGGGACACAGAGAGGGGTTGTCACTTTCCCTGTAGGAGTTACTGCCCAGGTGGTGAAGCACAGCTGGGCTGGGAGATGCCAACAAGTAGCAGATGATGTGTTCTTGCCTTGTCCTCGCCCTTTCCTCTCAGAGGTGGCCCTGCATGTATGCGGTCCCCATAGTCTCTGGGTGTGCATAAGTGGGGAGGGAGAGCAGAGTAGGCTGTGCTTAGCCCCATGTCTGATGCCGCCTTGTCAGTGCACAGCTGCAGAGAAAGGTGAACTTGGTTGCTATGGCTATCCACTAGGCCATTCCTTGAACTCTCCTGGGAATTAAAGCAGGTTAGGAATTGGAGAGGGGTTCTTGCTGTGAGACACAATTCCATCTCCCTCTGTAGAGAGGAGTTGCATTTTCCTCGAGGAAGAACCAGCCTCCTTCTGACAAGGGGGAGACCATGAGCTCAGAGCTCCTCGGGGCTCCTTGGGCAAGAAGCAGGTAACAGAGGCAGGGCAAATGCTGTCACCTGGAGCCGGAGCTCCCAGGGCCAGCGTATCTGGTGGGGGCTCTTTAGCATTTGGAGCCAGAGTTGTGCAGGAGCCTTCTGGACCTTCGCCTTGGTTCTACTGTAGCTGAGCTGGCCCTGGCCAGGCTGAGAGGAGCAAATATGGGCTCTGAGCTGTGATTGTTCCTATTGGGCTTTTTCTTTGTGTCCTTTAGTAAGGTGGAGGGTTGGGAGCTCCTAACTGTATAGGAAGGAAGTAGGGAAGACAGGGGTTTCTGGAAAGCAGAAGGGAGTCATGGTTGTGCCTGTCTCGTGTGTGACTGTTTCTGTTTGGCCCAATACTCCCAGGCCTGGCAGAAGCCACGGGGCGGTCCTGTGGATGGAGTACCACCTGACCCCTGACTACACAGTCAGCACCGGCCTTCTGGAGCCTGCAGAAGACAAGGTAGCATTGTGTACTGGGCCCCAAGTGTGTGCTGACCCCAAGAGCAAGTGCCAGCTGGGAGCCCACACCATCTCCTGTGCTGTGGGTGTTCCTGGTCATAAGTTGGCCCCCCTGGGTGTTTCTGTCACAAGCTAGGCCCCAGGCTCCTGCGCAGCTTCTCCCCACTGGGAGCCACCTAGGCTGAAGGCTGCCCAGGAAGCGACTTGGTGCCAAGAAGTCCTCACTGTCTTCCTGCTGCTCCTCCTACAGGGATACTGTCGCTGGAACCCCCACTGCAAGCAGGCTGTGTACTTCTTCAGCACCACGCTGGGTCCCAGAGAGCCACCAGGCGGCCCCCGGGCAGTGAGCTATGCTGTGGAGTTTGATCCCCACACTGGAGACCTCACCATGGAGTTCAGGCTCACAGACACTCTGGACTGACCCTCACTTGAGAAATAAAGTGGCCCAAGGGCTGCAGGTTCTAAAAGGTGTGTGGCTTTCTGGGGAGGAAAGGCTGAACACGCTCCTCTCCTTCTGGGACCACTCGGCTCTGGGCAGTCAGGGGCTGTCTTCCATTTTTGCCTCTTTGTGCTGTCAGTTTCTGGTTCCAGGTATGGCAGGCAACAGGGGCTGGTGACTCAATTTGGAGCCACAGAGGTGTCATGGAGACCCCACCACTCTACTTGGGGTTTGGAAGTACTGAGGAAACTCCAAGGCAGTGAAGTCTGCTGCCCTTCCTGGAAGGGAATGGAGCACTTGGGCTACCCTGGTTGCCCTCTTGGCAGGCAGAGCCAGTGACAGGAGCTGCCTTGCCTCTCTGATTCTCTGGGAGTCTCTAGGTCCCTGCTTGTGTGGCTCCAGCTGAGAAGGCCTTCTGGGGGGTACAAATGCCGAGTTGCAGCTGGGTCACTGGGCCTTGAAGACAGTGCATGACAGAGGGGGGTTGAGAAGACTATGTTCTGGCCCTTTAACCCATGGGTAACTTCACCAGGCCACAGTTATGGGTGTCTGAGCTCTAGCCTCAGTGCAGCACTGACAGGTGGCCTATCAGGATTCAGACCTAGACACCAAGCTGCTGTCTAGAGGATAGGGAAGAGCTGTCTCCAGTCAGTTCTGAGATGCAGACCCAGCAGACTGGCTGCCAGAAAGGAGAATCAGGAAGTGTAGCCCTTGCCCATGTGTCAGAAGCCCCCATGGCCATCCAAAAGTCTCTGGGCAAGCTGGCCGAATTGGCTCATGCCTGTAAAATCCTAGCACTCTGGGAGGCTGAGGCAGGTGGATTGCCTGAGCTCACAGATTCGAGACCAGCCTGAGGCAGATCGAGACCCCATCTCTAAAAATAGGCGGGCAGTGTCAGGTGCCTGTAGTTCTAGGTACTTGGGAGGCTGAGGCAAGAGAATCACTTGAGCCCAAGATTGTGAGGTTGCTGTGAGCTACAATGCCATGGCACTCTACCGAGGGTGACAAAGTGAGACTCTGTCTCCAAAAAAAAAAAATCTCTGGGCAGATGGGGTACAGTGCAGAGCCACTCCAGCCCAGCCTTGCTTTAAAGGACAACCGAGAACCCTGTGGTGGCCATGGACTTTCATTCTCACTCACACACTCAAATGCCCTTTTGTTGTTTATATCCCAATTAACAGAGGAAACAGGAGGCACCTACTAAGAGAACCCAAATGGCCTGGGGTCCTAGTATTTCAGGGCAGACTTGGGCTGTGCCCATCCAGAAAGGCTGTCCCCCTTAGCAGTCCCCCGGCGGCCTGCCCAACCCCAGCTTGTTGCTGAAATAAGTGGCAAACACCAGCCTTGAGCCTCACAGTTTTATTTTCACTTCAGTATCCATCTTTCCTTTCAGCACCAATAAAGGAAAAAAAAAAAAACCTCCTCTTTTTAAAATATTTTGTCAGGTGTAAAGATTGTTTTTCTTCTAGGGAAGAATCGTTTGGATATATATTTGATAATGTGTTTACCAAAACCTTAGGTGTGCTTACCGTATAAAAACCCCTAATGTCCCATGAGGATATAATACAGAAAAAAAACAAATTTAAAAAGTTTTTTTTTCTTTTTTATAACAGTATTTCTAAATCTCAGCAAGTTAATACAATAGTTAAAAAGCATCAAGATTAATATCCATACTTAAAACTTAAGGTGGTTTTAGACAAATGAAATAAACAGTGCCTTTCTAAGCTGACCCCCTGCCTCATGGCTTCTCTTGAGACTGGGCCCAGGGCAGGCACAGAGGCTTGATTAAGATCTGGGTGACCTCCGTCCCCTTCCCAGGCCTTAGATGCCATAGAATCTGAGATCCTGGCAATATTTTGTTTCTCTTTAAAAAATCAGAGTGGAAAAGCCTGGCTTGTATACAAGCCCTGGGAGGCCACAGGCGTACCACGTGGAACACATGGTTGGGTGGTTGTGGCCTTGGTGTTGAAGGAGGTGTGAGGGAGGCAGGATGTCCCTGCTCTGGATGCCAGGACCTGCGCAGGCAGAGGCGACCTGTGGTAACAGAAAATGACTGAGGCACAGGGCAGTATGACTTGCCTAAGGCCACCCTGTGAGCTGGGGGGAGAGAAGCGCATGGCCAGACTCCCACATTTGCTTCTGAGAGGGAGGCTGCCCGGCCAACAGGAGCTGTGGTGGCATCTGGTCTAGTGGCCTGAGTCTGGCCACTCTTCTGTGTAGGGAGTCAGTCCTGGCTGCCCTGGGGGTGGGGCTTAGCCATGGCCTGCCAGGCCAGAGCCTTGGATGGGGGAAGGGCAGAGCACCCGGGCAGGGCTGCCCTTGTCATCATCATCACGAGCAGCCTCTTCCTGGCTCTGGATTCTGGGGAGCAGGCAGTTGACCTGGCACCAGGGGTGCTCCCCAGGCCAGGTGAGTTCGGACAAACCAGTGTCACCATGGATACACGTCCTCCTGTAGCTACCCAGGCTCTGCAGTATCTTCCTTCCCAGCATGGGGCCTGGTGTCTGGCTGGCTGCTTGGCCCCCTCAGTCCCTCTTGCAGCTGGGTGGGTGACAAGGCACAGCGTCAGTGCACCAGTGCCAGGAGGCTGATGGTAGGTCCTGGTGCTCTCTACAACCTTGCCAGGCAGAGCTGGCTCTGAGCCAGGCTGGATGCAAGGTCAGGGCATTGTGAGGAGGAGAGACTGGTGGGGGTTATCAAAAGTCCCTCAAGTTGGAGCCTCACACCTTGAAACAGACAAAACCCTCACCGGGGGGCAACCCCTATTGTCTGTTAAAGGCAGGTGTGCAGAGGCAGTGCTGCCAAGGGGGCCTAGGAACTGCAGGCCTCCCCAGGTCCGAAGGCAGATGGGGGACAGTGGGCAGTTGGCCAGCTCTGCCACACAGAACCTAGGGGCCCGGGGCTGGCACCGGTAGCAAGGTGGCTCTGTGCCTAGATGCCAACCACTCCCTGCCCTGGGTGAGCAGTGGCCATCAGCCTTGCCATCCGCCTCTTCAGAGCCTTGGCGTTGGTTGGGGTGGCTGTTGAGAATAGGCCTGGGGGGCCAGAGCTGCATCCCCATCTGGGGGCAGGCAGGTGGTTCCTGAGCTCAGCCGGCACATGGGTGGGGGCAGTCCCCAGGAAATGATTGGTCCCAAACCAGAGAGATGTCCGGAGGGGAGAAAGAAGAGGATGAGTTGGTTTTGATAGACGAGAAGAAGCTACAAATCTATTGTTTTCAAAATCAGGACCCACCCCCACCCCCCTTTATGCTGTGAGTCCCCTTCTTCCTGTAAAAAAAATGGATTCTCTTTCGAATTCCCTGTTTATGGCTCCATTGCCCAGATCTGAGTCTCCTACAGGAGGCTCTAGGGCGGCCAGAGCCAGCTGGACCCTGGTGTGCCTGGGCGGGGAAGGGACCCTGTTTCAGGAAGAGCAAAGTTCTGTGAGTACTTGTAGACCCTTCAAAGTGAAGGGTTGATTTTGTTTTTAACTTACTGTTTTTCTTTTTAAAAGTAATCGCCCTTGAATGCATGACCCTGGGAAGAGCCCTGGGCTGGCTGGTACAGCTACAGCCTTCAGGTCCCTGCGGTGAGCCGTCCCGGGCTGGAGGTGGGAGAGCTGGCGGCCGTGCCCAGGAAGTGCTTCTTTGGCTGTTTCTGATTGTGTTTGGAGTTTGGCCTTGGGTGAGGCCCGAGCAAGGGGTCTATGTGGCTATAGCGTGGCACGTGGCATGCGGGCAGCGTGCATGCGAGGGTGCAGGCATGCGAGACAACATTGGCAGCAGACAAATAATGAACCCTGGACGAAGCTTAAGAAGAGATACAAAGAGTACATAAACCCAGTCCTTAACACTAACCCATGGGTTACAAACTAGGTTGTGCTGTTGATTTGTAGAAAATCATGTTTTGAAAGAATGGCACTGGTTAGGCAGCTCGGGGCTCCCGAGCTGGCCTGCCACCTCTGTCTGCAGTGCAGGCCCAGAGAAGCACTGTTCCCAGGTTCCCGGGCACTGACTGGCTCTTTCCGGTCCCTGCCCTCCTCCCCCAGCACTGGGTGCTCAATGGAGGGGACATGCCCCAGGGATGGGCTGCGGCTCAGAGGGCTGGCAGAGGCCCTGCTGCTCCGGATGCCGGTGATGTGGCTGGTCTACGCCTCTTCCTCCCCCGTTGACACCATCAACCGCATGGCCACTGGGAGGTGGTCGGTCAGGCCGGATAGCTGGGTGATGAAACTGAATTCTTCCACCTCCTAGGTTGGGCGGGGGGCGGGGGAAGAGGCATCCTGATTAGACCTGAAGGGCATTCTGCAAAGGAGAGGTCTGGGGGGCAGGGAGACTGCTTGGGGGTCCTGGGTGTAAAGGCCTCTGGCCTGGGGTCAGCATGGGTCTTCCTGAAGGCAGAAGGATCTGAGGGCCCTACAGGACTGCAGACGACAAGTCTCGTCCTGGGGGGTGAGGTCTCAAAGGTCCCAGTGCTATGCACAGCTGCAGCCTGGGGGTCCACCATCTCCCTCCAGACATGGCCCTGCTGCCTGGGCCTTGATCCAACTCACCGCCTTCCAGTCTGGGCACAGCCCCTCTTCGGCGTGCAACATGTAGTCAATGCGCCTGCCGTTGCCTTTCAGCAGGTCTTTGCGCCCCTTCTGGCCTGGGCTCTTGCTGGTGGGAAATGCCAGGTACTCCTTGCGGCCTTCTTCACTCTCCAAGACCCTGTTCACAGGCAGGCTGTCAGGTGAGCCCTCCACCCCAGCCCCAGAGACTGACAGGTCCTGGGGCGGGGGGCTGGTCTCTTCAAAGTGAGGGAGGATGAGTCAGACCAGATCTCTGTGTTTAAGATCTATCTTTCTTGTGGGCCAAAAGGGCCTAGCTGGAAGGAAGCTGGGTCAGAACCTGTGAGTTCTTGGCTGAATTGGACACTCTAGAGCCTACCACAGATTGTCAACATGTCCACCTTGGGACACTTTTCCTCTCCTGGCTGCGGCTGGGTCAGACATGGAAGCCCCAACCTGCTCTGAGCCAGTAGGGGCCTCTTAGAGGGAACTTGGTCT